GCCGCGGCAGCGGCCCGAGGACGAGCCAACCTCGCGGTCGTGCTTCCCCTTGCGGCCGTGGTTTCAGAACCCCATAGCTGCGAGGCGGCCGGCCGACGAGATCGAGAACGGGGAGAGGGAGAGCTAGGATTTGGGACGTGTCGGGTTTCGATGGGGCTGGAGTGGAGAGTGTGGACGACGACCAGTCCACGACCTCCCATTTAAGAAGGACGACGATCGTTCGCTGGGCAGATGATAGGTGGGGCCGCCTGCGCGTGCGCTTTGATGTTGGCGGGTGGGAGATAGGTGACCGTCTGCCACTCAGCCCCAATGCGAACGAGCGACACGTCCGTTTGCTGTCCGCCGCGACACAAACTCAGCACATGTTTGGCTTCTTTGATTCAAAGGAATTTTATAGGATTTCTGGAGGATTGAAATCCTTAGGATTTTTTCCTATGTTGGTTCTTTGATTTATAGGGTTGGATCCCATAGGAATTTTTCCTATGAAATCTTCTATACTACATTTCATAAGAAATTTAACATCCACTCGAACCTCTTTTCACAATTCCTTTGTTTTTCCCGTGGCATCAAACAATCATTGCTAATTCTATAGGATTCAAATGGGCATGCCACTCCAACCCTACACTTTTTCTATTCCTATGTTTTTAAAATCCTATGAATCAAAGAGGCTCTTACGCTCGAAATGGATCGGCCCGGACACAAAGCGAACCAGATGGATCCATGCCATCATGAGTTGAGCCGTCTGGTTTGTCCCTTTTACGCCGAATAGACGGGCCGAACGGGATGGAATCACGCCGTGGAGTTGGCCTAATACGAGTAGCCGTTCTTCTTGATTTCGCGACACCAGAAGATATACTTTTTTTAGGGGTACCAGAAGATATACTTATGTGACGTGGAAACGGCGCGAGCGTTATCTCGTTGGCAACAAATGGCCTCCACCTCGGGCACACGTCAGACGGACCGGATAGATAGGCTGCGTTATCGTCACGGTTTCAAACGTGAGGCAAACGTGGCTCGTGCAGGCAGCTGCACCGGTATCGACGGAAGTCGTCGTCCTCGTCCACGTCGTCCACGCGGTGCCGCCGATCGGCGTGACACGCAACGTCGGGGTTTGACCCGGCCACGTCCACGGCCACGGGGGGTGCCGATCCAGTCCTGGCATTTGCATCGGCGTGGATCCGCCGTGGCAGCCTCGGCCTCGGCCTCAATCGGTTCCTTTCCCAGCCAGCCTCGCGCCGTCGCGCGGCGGGTTGCCACGATCCAAACGAGGTCGCGTGGGCCAACGGCAGCCCGTCGCGTGCCGCGACCGGCCACATGGACGACAGCTCTCTCTCTCTCTCGATTTGACAGGTCTCTCTCTTCGTTGAGGAGGAAAGTTCTTTTTTAACCAGGATCAGGCTCCAACGAATATTCTACTACTGTGCATTTGCAGGTGCGGATTGTTTCGAGGTTGACAGAACCCGGACCGAATATACTCCCTCTGTTTATTTTTGACGCCCATAACTGCCACATGTGTGGTATATTTGACATGCGCCCACACATCGTGTGTGGTGTGAGCATGAGGCAGCCCACACGGACTGTGTGTGGACAGACATTAGAATTGCCCACATGTGTGGGCGCGGCTACTTTGTGTCACACGCCCAACAAGTACTACTCATTTCCACCTCGCGTGTGTGGCACGAAGCAAAAATGTCCACACGTCCTGGCGCAGCTACGTTAGGTACCCCGCGGGATGACAATTTAGTTGTCATCCTGATTGGCAGATGTAACTATCCAGGATGGCAAGTGTAGTTGTAAAAGCATGTCAACTCTATCTGTTTTGGTTAACTACAGTTGCCATGTCTAATTTTTGGTAGTTGCCGCGTGTAATCAAACCGTAGTTGCCGTGTGTGATTAACTACTTGTCACATATAGTCAAACAGTAGTTGTCATGTGTGTTTACCTAGTTG